TCTTATTTCCTTGCAATCTTCAGTAATGCTAAAGTAGGAAATTTATAAAAAATTGACAGCTCAGTGACTGATGATTTATTTTCGTTCGAAGGTGAAATGTGGGGTAAGGGGCGACACAGGACCTGCGTGTAACGCTGATGGAATGATTGACCGTACAATCTTGGGAATTCAACACCTGTATAGAAAGCCTATTTATGCACGAACTAAGGTAATTTCTCCACCGAATGTCAGTGTTTGTTTCATTTTGATGCTTCTAAGAATGCTTCCTTGTTTTTTCTGTTTTTACTATTCATTTATTATTAATGCAGATATTAATAATAGTGAATTTCCTAGCACAGCCATGTAGTATCAATTCCCCTGGTTATGGCCCGCCACCTCCAGATGCTCCTTCATGGTGTCAGGCCCCTTTTGATCCTGAAGGACTCCTGAGGTTTGTTTTTGTTTCCTTGTGCCTTCCGTAGAGATCATCTTTTATGTGATGCATCAGGAATCAGTATATTGACAGTTTAAGCCTACGGGGATGACTCAATGTGTGCTTAATTTTACGGGATCCCTGTGTGATCTTTGTACTTTGTCCTTGTAGTTCAGTAATGGCCATCGTCACCTGCCTGGTTGGTTTGCACTACGGGCACATCATTGTCCATTTCAAGGTGACATATTCTACCTGATCAAAGATTTTAATCTTTTAATTACATCAGTTTCCTTTGTTCAACTAATTTTTTCCCCTGCCACTTTCAGGAACACAAGGATAGAACCCTTCACTGGATGGTTCCATCCACTTGTTTTCTAGTCTTGGGTCTGGTCTTGGATTTGCTTGGTAAGAAGTTTATTTGCAAGTAACTTATATTTGAATTTCAGAGGTAGCATTACTGCTAGTACTGATTTATGGTTTCATTTTCCTACCCCTAGGAATGCATGTTAACAAGGCTCTTTACACATTCAGTTACATGTGTGTCACTGCTGGCGCTGCCGGCATTGTATTTACTGGAATCTACTTACTGGTAGGATATTTTATCATAATTATTTTCTTGATAACTAGAACGTGTATATTTTCTATTTGGCTAGATCATCAATTCATGTCTCATTCATTTTGTTTCTTTTCCTCTCTATTTCTACAATGGAACCAGCCAAGTTTGTTGTAGGATAATAAGTGATGATTGAACGGGCTTTCCCTGCAGGTTGATGTGTGTGGATTCAGGTGGCCGATGTTGGTACTAGAGTGGATGGGAATGCATGCTTTGTTGATTTTTATCCTTGCAACCAGCAATGTCTTGCCGGTGGTCTTGCAGGGATTTTATTGGAAGCAGCCTGGAAACAACATTGTAATTACTCCCCTTTTGTGTTTGGAAATTCTCTGTTTATGTGATTGGTTTCTTCATTTTCAATATTGCAAGCTGACAAACTTCTATCTCTGGCAGCTTAGGTTTGTTGGAATTGGAAGATGAAAGGATAATGGACTAGATGGTTTACATCTTGACCACACTAGTTTACTTTCCAGTGCATTCTCCTGGAGAACTTGCTACATTGTTCATCTCCAGTTGTTGTAAAAAAATAATAGAGAATGTCAGCACAAGGTCTTTCTACGATTCGAAGCAGAAACATGTTCCTCCATCTCCCCCCTCGTATTTTAGGAGCTTTTTTAGTGATTCATTCAGGTGTTTTTTTTTTGTCATGTGACAATTCTGATACGCAGCCTTGTATAATGGGAGCTTTGAGATCATAAATTCGTTTTCATATTTACGAGACACTCAATATTATTAGCTGAAGATATATGCATTATTATTGCTGATGTAATTCTCATGGATGCCAAGAAAACATAATTGCTGTTCGGCAAATTGGCCTATCCCTGTTACAGAAAAGGAAACAAATTCTCAAGAGGAGCCATTCTCATTTGTTGTTGAAGTAAATGAGATACAGGATAAAGAAAGTTATAAATCCATCCGTTTATTCATATATGTTGCGATGAAACTAAAAAATAAAAATAAAAGAACCATTTCAGATAATTGGGGGAAGTAACGTCGCAATCCAAGGCTGTTAAAGGGAAAGAAATACGTTGACATTGCAGATAGTGGAATTCATGGTTTTTTGGACTTCCAGCGTGGAGGAGTGCGAGGAGGATGAGGAGGTGGAAGGGGAGGGGGTGCGGCTAAACCCGTAGGAGAAAAGGGTAATGTCGAGTAATTAGAATTGTAGTAAGGTATTATAGAATATACAGTGTGAGCACCAGTGAGGGCAAAGAGGATGAAAGCAGCAATAACAGACAAAAGAGCCCAAGGATTTCTGAAATAGGTGTGAATGAGATTGGCACGCCACTCATTCCAGGGCATCTGGCAGAAGGCATTGACCTGCATGTTTACAAGTCTGAGGCTGCTGTCTGGGTCCATCGCAATGTCCTTGGAGAGAGAGTTGAACAGTTCAACAACTGCCGTGTCACTTCCAATAGCATTCTGGATGATTCCTCTTGAGTGTAGGAGGGCAACGTCCCTCTCATTATCAATGATGCTGTTCATGAAGAAGACATAAGATGTTACCTCATTGCCTGCACCAACGTGGAGGCGCTCAAAGGCAATCAAATTCAGAAAGGTTGCCTCGGTGGCAACATCCACCACAATGACAGGAAGCTCAAGTACCCCTATATGGAATGAGATGCCTCTCAGGCTCTTGGTTTTACCTTTCTTAAACTGGATTCCGGCATCATTAATCTCTGTCGCTGATCGGAAAATATCATTGACATCATTAAGAAGTCCCCCCGTTACCCTGGGGAGACGCATTTTCCTGGCGGGATCTTCCAGAATCAGGCTCTTCCTGTACAAATCCAATACATGCAAGCTTTTATCCAGCTTTGAGACGGGTGCGTTGGGGTAGCAGAAATTGAGCACGAGCTGGTTGACAAACTCTTCGTCCTGTGCGAAAGTAGAAGTTTTCATACTGACAAATCGTAAAAGGGACCACCAATACAATATCAAATAAAAGATGGATGTACCTGTGCTCCGTTACTTTCAAGAGCAAACAGCTTGTAAAGAACAAGCATTGGCAGTTGATTTTCAAGCAACAACATATCACGCCGGATATATGGTGCAATGTAGAGCCTCCCGTGGCTGCTAAAAATGGGATCATTGGCAGCATAGCCATCCAATGAATGTGAAGCAAGGCGTATAATTTCCATCATGAAACAACCGTCAAGAATCATCAGTTGCAGAAATTTGTTCTTGTCGTCTTTCCATGACTCACCAAGCATATCATATGAGTTCTTTAAAACCTGGATTTCATCATTTAAAGATTCAACGACCGCTTGTAGACGTCGTCCACCTCTGTTTAAATAATATGTGAGCGCTCGTTGCTTGTGCTCCTCCATTGGCTTCAGATGATCTTCACCATGATGGTACGGACCAAAGGAGACTGTCTGAGGCATGTAGGCTGTGTTGTTGAGGGCCGTAACAGAGGCAGGTATTTTGTAGATTGAACGTTTGTCCCAGAGAACATTCTGCAGAGAAGTATCTGCCAAGCTCTGAAGTTCTTCTGTAACTTCAATGAGCAGCCGCTTTTCGTCGTCCATTGCTTCAAATTGCTCAACATGCAGTTTTTAGCACAGATGACAAGAAGTGAAGCAAGGCGTTCTCATTTCCGTCCTCTTATATATTCCAAGAGGTAAATATATCGCAGGCATCCAATTTCTTGTCTACTTCATTTCTTCACAAACACACATAAAAAAAGTAGCATAAATTCCTTCGATTAGATAATGAGGGCATCGTTGAAGCTAAAGAGATACGGTTCCAATTTCCAACTGCCAAGTGAAAAACCCTTTGTGACCAGTAGCCCCACCTCTTCCACCTTAACTAAAAAACATTCCTTTCTTCCAATAGGTGAATGCTGCAGTATTAAGCAACTCACTAGTCGTTATTGATACTTTCCCTCCTTCGAGGGGCTGGCATATATCTATTGGGTTAAACAAAATGTTAAGAACCTAGAAGCAATAGAGAGAAATGATTCAGAGAAAAAAAAAACCGAATAAAACAAAACTTAACTAAATAGATTACGTTTTATCCATTTTAGATTCCCCGCAATAAGTATTTGATAGTCACTAGTCAGTTCAAGCAGCTGTTCATAATCCATGAAAAATGTAGAGAAGCTTGTGCACATGTAAGGAATTCGAAGGGAACACAAATTCTTATAAATCACTAGTAGTACCAAGCACCACTCTATCATTTGGTAACAGAAGGAAATAAAAGCTCAAGAAGTATAGGAGGATTCTCCGGTTATCACTTTACACACAAGCTAGCCTTTTCAAAAGAATTTTGAACTTTCTATGATTCATAGAGTAGCCGAGAGGAAAAGTAGTGGCTAATGCCCCCTGCCACTGCTAAGCTAAATCTTCTAGGTTGAAAATTAAGAAGCTATTCGTCTGGTGCAAATGAGGCAGCTCTTATTGCATAGATATATAGAAGCTAACATTTGTACCGATAGCACTGTGATTAGCAGTTAGAACAATTGTTGTTGAAAACTCAAAGGAATATGGCACTGAATATTTCATTTTTCCAACAACTGTAGTTACTCTATTGAGAAGGGTGAGATTTTGAGTCCAAATTCCATTCTTGGAAAATATACCAATATCCAAAATGGAAATCACTGGTAGAGCAGCAAAAGCCTTTCTTGAGCGGGAAACAGGAATGCATCTCTTAGAACAATAGCAGAGAATCATCAGATTCTAGCCCATCACAGTGCACATTATAAATAGTTGACACGAGGTCAATCCTCTTGCAAAAATGACAAGCACTGTTTCATTAGTGAAACTAAGCAGGGGCTCAATTATCGCCCCAATTAAAGGTTCCTCGGAGCTTGGCATGAAATTACAACAAAATTTCAGATTATATAAAGATGAAAAAAGCACGCTGCCAAAACGCAGTAGACGGAGCATACGTTTCCGGGATACCAGGAGCAACAGGAGAGTAGGTTGATCCCAAAGTGCTAGAAACTGGGAAACCGATTGAACACAATGGCAATCAACGGCCATGCAAATTTAGGTAGAGCGTAGGAGGAAAAGTGGGAGGAGGAATAGGGAGTGGTGACGAAACCATAGGAGGAGAGGGTGATGGAGATCCTTCTTCATAGAATTCTATTAGACTGTATACCGTCTGCGCAATTGTGAGCGCAAAAAGGATGAGTGCAGCAACAAGAGATAGAATGGCCCATGGATTTCTTAAATACGTTTGGATAAGATTGGCGCGCCAGGCATTCCAAGGCTCCTTGCAGTAGGCACTGACCTGCTTGTTCACCAATTCTAGGCTGCAGTCCGGGTCCAATGCAATGTCCTTGGAAAGACAGTTGAACAGTTTAGCAACAGCTTTGTCACTTCCAATAGCGTTCTGGATGATCCCTCTTGAGTGCAGGAGAGCAACATCCCTCTCATTGTCGATGATGTTGTCCATGAAGAAGACATAAGATGTGACCTCGTTTCCTGCACCGACATGGAAGCGCTCAAAGGCCATCAAATTCAAAAATAGCGTCTCAGTTACATCATCCACCACGATGACAGGGAGCTCAAGGACCCCATGGTGGAAGGAAATTTCTTTCAGGCTTCTAGTTTTACTTTTCTTGAACTGGATTCCAGTTTCATTGATCTCTGTTGCAGATCGGACAACACCATCGACATCTTTATGCAGTCCACCCCATCCTCTGTGGTGACGCCTTTTCCTGTTGGGGTCTTCCCGAAGCAGGCTCTTCCTGTATAAATCCAATGCATGCAAGCATTTACCCCACGTTGAGATACTCGCGTTGGGGTGACAAAAGGTGAGTACGAGCTTGTTGACGAACTCTTCATTCTGCGTAAAAGTAAAAAATTTATGGTGAACAATATAAACAAGAGATGCGGCGATTTTGTAATTCAATTAATAGGATATATACCTTCTCCCCATCGCTTTCAGTGGCAACCAGCTTGTATAGAACAAGCATTGGTAACTGATTTTCAACAATCAACATGTCACGCCTGATAAATGGCGCCACATAGACACTCCCATGAATGCTAAAAACTGGATCATCAGCAGCATAGTCATTCGATGGTTGAATAGCAAGGCGCATAATTTCCAGCATGAAACATCCATCAAGAACCATCAGTTGCAGAAATTTGCCCGTACAATCATTCCATGATTTATCAAGCTGATCGTACGAATCCTTTAAATCCTGCACCACTTCATTTAAAGAGAGGAGAAATAGCTCTAGAGATTTTCCTGATCTCCTTAGAAAATAATAAAGAGCTCGGTGTTTGTGGTCCTCCATTGGCTTTAGCTGATCGTCGTAGGAATGGTAAGGCCCAAAGGACACTGTTTGGGGCCTGTAGGCTGCTCTGTTCAGGGCTGTGACAGATGCAGGTACCTTGTAGATTGATCTTTTGTTCCATAGGATATTCTGCATCGAAGTATCTGCCTTATTCTGAAGTTCCTCTGTAACATCAATCAGCAATTGCATCTCCTCCACTTATCCTTCAAGTAGCTAAACAGTTTGCTCAAAGTGATTAAAAGAAGGAATGCAAAATTACATGCTTGATTTATCACGCCATATCTATTAAAAGAAGGAATTGCAAGACTATTCTTTCAAGCATCCAAGCTTAGTTTACCTGGCTTCATTGCTTCCCAGACAAGGAAATATTGATTCTCAGTAAGTGCTGTTGTAATTAAGACACTCACGTTGCCGCAAGTTTGTAAAATCTGTTTAATATCCTAATTTTAAGTTAATGAAATTAAAATAAATCAACATTAATTGAAAATGAATTTTAAGCAGCAGGCTTAAATTTAAGATTTAAAGAGCATAGAGAAATTGCTTTCTGTAGTTAATGGCGGTCTGAAATCTAAAGAGCTAGGATTCCCACAGAAAAACCCTTGTAAAGGCTACTATACAAGGTTCCATCTCTGCTACCTTCACTCGAAAAGAGATGGCATGAACATTCTTTCTTGTAAATCGCAAAAGTTGATTCATGAGAACATGTATGGAATCAATACTGTCGCCCTTCCGAGAGAGAATATATATCTTTAAACCCGTACAAGAAATTTAATCAAGAAGGAAATGGTGACAGAGAGAAACACAGGGGGCCTAGCAGCCAGTTTCACGTATAGTTTATTCAGTCTTCATTGCTTCGCGGACAAGAAAATTGATTCTCAGTGCAACTTCTCATTTCTGATGTAGCTTGGCTTGTAGACACTGACAGCTCTAAGCAGTGGAATATGATTTAATTAAAAAAGAGAGAGATTCTATAACAAAAGAATGCTCAAGCAATCTATGTAATTATTATCACTTTAGAGTTATTCGAGAGTTTTATACTGATGGTCTTTTAAAGTTTTTTTTTTTTAATTTGAAATATATTAAAATAATATTTTTTTATTTTTAATGACAATAATGTATCAAAATAATTTTAAAACTTAAAATAATTATTTTTTTTTAATTCAAATTATTTGAAAATGCCGTTTGGAACTCAATCCCAAGTAACCCCTTAATATAGTTAATTTAATTTTGTTATTATTATTTACATTATTGTAAGTAATTTTAAACATTAATATTTTTTAAACTTATCAAAGAATCATGATCAATTTTTTAAAATAACCATTAATTATTTTTGAAAACCAACGAAAAAACAAAAGAAAACAAAAACTATAAATCCTTATTATTTAGACACTTTTTTTTTTCTATTGAATGTGTTAATCTATTTTGAGTCATTTTTTTAATACATATGATATCATCTTAGATTATTAATTATCAATTATCAAAAAAATCTACTATTGTTAAAACACTTGAATATTAATCATTAAGTTCTTACAAGATTGGATGGAGAATAAACATTTTTAACAAAAAATATATTTTTACACTATTTTTTATTAAATAAGAAATGTAAAAGTTATTAAAATAATCATCATTTTCTAATTATGAGGTTTTATGAGAAACACACACACAAAAAACCATTTATTATTTGAAAAAAATGATATAAAGAAAATGGTAAAATAGTAAATAATGGAAAAAGAAAAGAAAACAAAAACAAAGAAGAAAGATGGGTCGAGGAGGCTGGTTATAACCAAACTTGAGTGCATGCACGTGTTGGATGCTACCTCCAGACCATGACTTGAAAAAAGCAAGAGACTTGTTGTCTACGGTGACGTTGTAACTCCAGCATCGTTGTTTGTAATGGCCTTCCACAATCTCATTTTCCACACCATTTCATTCAAAGCAATATAAAAAAAATAATTTTTTAATTTATTTTTTATCTAAAATATTTTTATAAATCTATTCATCACCTCATACAATAAAAAAAATAAAATTAAAAACTTAAATTAATCTGAACTAAAAATTCTTTCTCTCATCAAATTGACATTATCTGTTGTTTGCTAAACTCAACAACTAGAGATTGCTAGAAAAACAAGCTTTTATTTTTTTAATTAAAAAATATTTTTAACATATTTTTAATCCAAACTACCTTTATAAATTTATTCATGGCATCTTATAATTAAAAAAAAAAAATAATCAAAAAACCAAAATTATTTTAAACTCAAAAATTTTCCAATTGCATCCTCATGTAATTAGAAGAAAAACAAACACCTAAGTGAATTTTTTCTCATTAAATAAAATTTATTAATATTAATCCATGGCCTCTTGGAGTGTTGGAGAGACTTTTAATATGGCCCAATAACTACAAATTAAATTAAAAACTAAAAAAAGCAAAGAGAAGCTTGTGACTAGGAAGATTTATGTTAACGATCAATATAACATACTTAGGATAATATTCTGTCTGTGCAATTCTAGCATTCATGAGATGTTAATAAAAAAAAAAAGGAAAAATATACTGAAAAATTGTTCATTCCTGCAGGTTCGTTTCTTGAAGTCAAATATATATCATGTCTTCCACATTGAAAAAGTTAATGTTCATTTTATATAATGTTTTATTTATTTCCAATGGATTTATGATAAAAATATACTTTTTAAATAACTAGTTTTGAAACCCAAATTAAAACTGAAAAAATAATTTTCTATTCAATTTTTTTTAAAAAATAAACCCAAATTAAAACCCAAAAAATAAACTTGTCAAATGAAATTTGAGGTTGCCACATATTTTCTTTTCATTCTTTTCACTTTGATCCTATGTTTTTTAATTCTAACACTTTCTTTTAAAAAAAAATAAGAATCAGGCACTAATTTCACCTGAAAAGAGTTCAATTATACAAAAAAGAATAATAATTCAAGGAACAAATTGAGAATTAAAAAAAAAATGACTATCCTAGTCCACAGGAGAGTGCACAGTACTCATTTAATACTAAAACAACGTAATTGCTTAGTTTTTATATATATTATAATTATTAACTGAAGATGAATGCATTATTATGGCTCATGTTATTCTCATGTATGCCAAGAAAACATAATTGCTGTTCTGCAAACTGGACTATCACTGTTTCAGATAAGGAATTTGTGTTAAAGATAACTTAGTAGAGCTGCAGCTAAATTATACCAATCAGACTTCTATTACTTTTTTGAGAAGGAATCTATTTAAAACATTGATGGATGATTCTTAGACTGAGAAAAACAAGGAACTCAATACTTCCAAGATCTAGAGAAAACACAAAAAGACCCTTGACTCTTAAAAAAATAATTACTCAAGACACTGAAAATTACAAATTACTTCTTAACACATCTACATCTGTGGTGCCGGTGTGATGGTTTTGGGGGATGCATGGGAGGAGTGAGAGGAGGCGGAGTTGGGGTTGGAAGGGGAGGGGGTGCGGCGAAACCCATTGGAGGAGAGGGTGATGTCGAGTGATTTGATTTGTAGTAAGGTTTTATAGAATATACAGTTTGAGCACCAGTGAGGGCTAAGAGGAAGAGTGCAGCGATAACACACAAAATGGCCCATGGATGTCTGAAATAAGTGTGAATGAGATTGGCACGGCACTCATTCCAGGGCATGTTGCAGAAGGCATTGACCTGCATGTGCACACCTTCAAGGCTGCTGTTTGGGACCAACGCAATGTCCCTGGAGAGAGAGTTGAACAGTTGAGGAACTGCCATGTGACTTCCAATAGCATTCTGGATGATTCCTCTAGAGCGGAGGAGGGCAAAGTCCCTCTTATTACGAATGATGTTGTCCATGAAGGAGACATAAGATGTTACCTCATTGCCTGCACCAACGTGGAGGCGCTCAAAGGCAATCAAATTCAGAAAGGTTGCCTCAGTGGCACCATCCACCACGATGACAGGAAGCTCAAGTACCCCTCCATGGAATGAGATGCCTCTCAGGCTCTTGGTTTTACCTTTCTTGAACTGGATTCCAACATCATTAATCCCTGTCGCTGATCGGAAAATATCATTGAAAACATTAAGAAGTCCCCACTTAACCCTGGGGAGACGCATTTTCCTGGCGGGATCTTCCAGAATCAGGCTCTTCCTGTACAAATCCAATACATGCAAGCTTTTATCCAGCTTTGAGACGGGTGCGTTGGGGTAGCAGAAATTGAGCACGAGCTGGTTGACAAACTCTTCGTCCTGTGCGAAAGTAGAAGTTTTCATACTGACAAATCGTAAAAGGGACCACCAATACAATATCAAATAAAAGATGGATGTACCTGTGCTCCGTTACTTTCAAGAGCAAACAGCTTGTAAAGAACAAGCATTGGCAGTTGATTTTCAAGCAACAACATATCACGCCGGATATATGGTGCAATGTAGAGCCTCCCGTGGCTGCTAAAAATGGGATCATTGGCAGCATAGCCATCCAATGAATGTGAAGCAAGGCGTATAATTTCCATCATGAAACAACCGTCAAGAATCATCAGTCGCAGAAATTTTTTCTTGTCATCTTTCCATGGCTCACCAAGCATGTCATATGAGTCTTTTAAAAACTGGATTTCTTCATTTAAAGATTCAACGACCTCTTGTAGACGTCTTCCAGATCTATTTAAATAATATCTGAGCGCTCGTTGCTTGTGCTCCTCCATTGGCTTCAGATGATCTTCACCATGATGGTACGGACCAAAGGAGACTGTCTGAGGCATGTAGGCTGGGTTGTTGAGGGCCGTAACAGAGGCGGGTATTTTGTAGATTGAACGTTTGTCCCAGAGAACATTCTGCAGAGAAGTATCTGCCAAGTTATGAAGTTCTTCTGTAAATTGAATGAGCTCTTGGTTTTTGTCCTCCATTGCTTCAAAGTGCTCAACATGCAGTTTTTAACACAGATGGCAAGAAGTGATGCAAGGCGTTCTCATTTCCGTCCTCTTATATATTCCAAGAGGTAAATATATCGCGAGCATCCAATTTCTTGTCGACTTCATTTCTTCACAAACACAAAAAATAGAAAAAAGTAGCATAAATTCCTTCGATTAGATAAGGGCATGGTTGAAGTTAAAGAAATATGGTTCCAATTTCCAACTGCCATGTGAAAAACGCCCTGTGACCAGTAGCCCCACCTCTTCTACCTTATCTGAAATACATTCCTTTCTTCCAATAGGTGAATGCTCCGTTATTAAGCAACTCACTAGCTTTATTGACTAAGTGTTCGTGGATGAGTTTGAATGTTACCATTTTAATTTTATTTAATAAAAATTAAATATAAAATAATATGAATATATAAAAGTTTCAAGTGCAAAAAATTTTATTTAAAAAAATATGTTAAAA